ATTTGTTCCTCAACACACAAGAGTGGCTAGTGAAAGTGCAGCCCCTTAATGCAGCCCCTGGGGAAAAGGGAAGGGGAAAGGCAGGATCAGAACAGGCTCTGGGCTGTAGAGACTAGAAGTGATCTTTGTGCTGGAGGAAGAATTGCCTATGAGTGAAACAACGCAGACCAGAGCTCTGACTTGTGCTGGGTTTCCCCCTCCTCTACAACTCTTAAGTAGGTCACTTCCTTTCTCTTTAGCACAGTTTCCTCATCTCTTTGGTACAGACACTAACTTCTGCCAGAACGAAGATGTGATCTGATAATAAGCACTGCAGCCTATAGAGTTCAGAGAGATGCTTGATAAGAGCTCCTTGAAACAAAAACCCACGCTAATTTCCTTAATAAACTAGTAATGCTGCTGGATAGGTTGCAGCTCCTGTGCACACCACACACACCCCTCTCTCATTAGCTGAGAAACCTAAATGCAGCATTGGAAAGGATGTCTTGGTTACCAAGTTCATTAAAATAGAGTCATACGACCCCTTCCATAAACAAATCAAGAACTATCTTCTAAATGTTACTCCTGCCTTCTCCAAGGGACGAGTTGTTTTTTCCTTCACAGCAGAGTATCTGGAGTAATTTCAAGTCTCTGTGTCTACAATGTCCTAAATATGGTCAGAAATTATACCAAGATTATGCTTAGATTTACAAGACGGAGATTATATTCAACTTTGAAATTATGAAACCACCTCCCATGGAAGTGGTCAAGTGCAGGTGTGTCAGATTTATAATGCAGTTATTCATGACCATACAAAAGATATGCAGACACTGCTTAAGCTGACAGACACTATCCTTTGTTAGCATAAGAAAACTGCAGGCAAGCAAAGAAAATCATTACATACTGTGCTTTAGTTTCTTCATCAGTCTGAAATGTTCTTTGAGCCAAGGTATCTGGGATCTTTTTCTATGATCTGTTCTGCTTATGACAAAGCATCCTTTCTTTGTGCTTGGTTATGCTAACTAAATAGGCCTCCTGCTACAAAACCACATACTGCCAATCCCCACATTTCACAGCTTCAAAAGTCATGTCATCTTCAGTATTTCTGGTTTGGAAGGTCAGTACCAAATCACAGAAAATATCAGTACTTTCACATCTTTGTTCTGAATGTGGCAATTCCCCACTACCCAAATCCTACCTCTTTGTGGAGCTGAAGCAACAAGATTTTTCTCCTAAGGCGAAAACATAACAATCAACATTCCACTGCCACTGCCACATTTCACAGCTTCAAAAGTCATGCCATATTCAGTATTTCTTGTTTGGAAGGTCAGTACCAAATCACAGAAATATCAGTACTTTCACATCTTTGTAGTGAATGTGGCAATTCCCCACTACCCAAATCCTACCTCTTTGTGGAGCTGAAGCAACAAGATTTTTCTCCTAAGGCGAAAACATAACAATCAACATTCAAGAGCCCAAGCAACAAAATAGTCCTGAAAATAGCAGGACACGTCACTTCATAGTAGCAGCTAAAATAAATTAGGCAAAAATAATCAGTCAGTGTGTTCACAGAGTCAGGAAGCAATGTCTACAACAGTACCTGGATCACAGGAAACCCCAGCAAGTCACAGAGATGGCTGTAACACAGCTGGAGCAGGCGCAGGGACTGATGGCACTGTGCTGAGCTGAAATTAGGCTCCAGGAGAAGCCAGGGTGTGGGGGAGAGAGACCCCAGCTGAGGCTGATTATGGCCATTAAAGCAAATTAATGCCCCAATGGCCCTGACAAATGAGCTCCTTCTTGAAAACTCCAGAGTTAAATCCCTGCTAATGCTGATGATTCTGGTGTCTTGTATGGGATTCCAGCTCCTGATAGGAGAATCCCATGTGTGGGTGAAAATAATGCCTCTTCAGAACTGGAATTAGTCTTTCTGCCTGGTGATCTGACAGATCTCAAGGGACCCACTATGTCAATAACTGACTAGGTCTTTTCTAGATTTTCTACAACCTGCAGAAGTTCAAAAGTAGTAGATAAAGATTTTCTCTCCAACCACGAATCAGAAGACTCCTCCTTGCAATTAACAGGCATACAGAAAATCTCACTGTTGTGCAGTTTTGTCCCTTACAAGAAGCTGTGAAAAACTCCTCCCCTGGTGTTCAGTCTTTAAGGAACAAATCTATGCAGCACCAACAGGGCTGCCTGGCTGCAGGGACTGTGATGGTTTGTCAGAGGTGACAAAGTGTCACTGTGCAGCAGTGATGCCCTGCAGAGCATTACCTGGATATGAGGAAAACCCTGCCAGCAGTAGACGACCACAGTGAAGAGATGGTGCAACACTAAGGGGGTCACAAAATGATGGGACAGTTAAAAGGGAAATCTGTCTGTATTCTCCCAGGTGCCCATCATTATGTGCAAATCCGCTTTACTAACAAAAACTGGATGTTCTGGTGAACTGAGTAGGCTGAACACAGTTTGAATCTATGAATTTACACTCTTTGTCCTCATCCACCACCTGCACTCAGCCTTGGCAGAGTCCTGCTTTCACAGCTCTACCTGGGGCCATTTCCCTGCGGGCCCAGACAGCAACTCTCCTTGAGCTGCTCCCCTCACAATGCCAATGATTTAACACACACACAGACAAGGGTCTTTCGCCAATGCCATTTCTGCCCAACTGCCACACTATTTTTCTCTCTTCAGACAGGACACTGCCTGTGGAAGGGCTGCATGGTCCAGGCACCTGGGAGAGGAATGGCCACTTTACAGGCCTCCTACGCTCCAGAGCTGTGATTGCAGCTGGAGATGCAACAGCTCAACTGTGACAGCCTTTTCCACAGAGGCACTTCCCAATTTCTGTCACACTGACAATGGAGTTAGCCCACCTAAAACCTTCCCAGATCTAGGTGGTACATAAATCTCCCCATCTCCCTTTACTCTCATTTGGGAAGAGCATTTGGATTTACCTTTCTACTTACCTCCTCCCCAACCCCTACACTGTATGACAAACCCTTTCTACCTCATCCTTCAGCACACATTCTGAGAATGTGTTATGTTTCCTTCAGCTTTAGTAATTAGTTCATATGGACAAAGAAAAGACTGAAAGGCATTTTAACCAGCATTATACTGGATACAAGTTGGAGACCTTTCCCTCTGAAAGCTCATAGTGACACGTGAGATAGGAGCTCCTTTTGATTAACAGAAAATGCAGAATTCAGGAAAAAAAAATTTAAATTTTTACAGGAGTAGACCAAGCTACTTCTTTGTCCTAAACAGAGAATAGTCAGCCATCTCCAATCGTTTTTCACCAGAAAGAAACTTAGCCAGTGAGCCTCACAAGATGAGCCTCTGAAAGTAGCCTAAGAACCGAGGAAACTGCAGGGGCTTGTAAATGTCATCAAGCAAGAGCGAAGGCAGCTTGTCCTGATGAAGGATTGCTTGTAATTATCCATACTAAAGACCTTAATCTTAAATGGTTTGATCTGCTCAGGGGATAAACCGAACCAGTATGCTTACTCAGTCGAGTTAATCTCTTTATGCACTGGGATTTGTTATGACTGTCATTCATCTCTAAGACTTGTGCACACATATGGCAGTGGGGTGGGAAGGCCGACAACTATTCACCCTCAGGGCAGTCACTGAGCTTCTGCTGGGCTGGAATATGTAACACTGACCTGTCCTGAGGAAGCTCCTCTCATAAGGCAGAAGACCTTTAGGTCTGTTTCAAGCTTTGTGTCAGCTCTGCAGCTTTCTGCTACTTTCCTCTCTACCTTCTCCACCATCACCCTGGCCGGCTGTGACTCAGACTCATCCATTCTCCTCATGCTTGGAAAACAGACACCAAGCAACACAGCTGGACACCAAGGAAAGAGGTTGCTCCCCTTGGTGTTTTATGTGCAAATTGTGAGAACGTGCAGAGGAAAACCAGGCCAAGTGCTGTGTTAAACGAAAGCAGCCAGGCTGCTCCAGAAGTGGCCAGCCCTGATCAGCACAGGGACTTGCCAGGGCAAAGCCTTTTGCCAGGTGTTCCCCACAAGCAAGGCCCTACAAACAACATTGGTGAGGCAGGGTTGATGATCCCTGCCACGGGCGTGGGAATGCCTGGACTCTGAGACGCTGAGGGCGCGGCCATCGGGGAGGCAGCGCTACCCAGAGCTGCCCTCAGTGTTCCAGCGCCCAGGGAGCCGTTCTCCAGGCAGACCTGGAGCCACAGACCACCCGTGTGCTCTGTGTTATCACAGTCCATGGAACTCCCCCATCACGGGCAGTTCATGGCTTCAGCTCCCGTTATCTCCCAGGGCTGGGATCTCTGCTCCCTGCAGACAGCCCGGCCGCTGCCATGCCTCCGTTTGTCTCCGCCTCGTGAAGCGGAGGGAGGCGCTCACAGCGCCCCGCTCCCCACCGCCGCCGACGGCGGAGCCAAACACCCGTGCTGCGCTGGGCGCCGCTGTACTCTTGGAGGCGGCTGGAGAGGGCAAAGCCCTCAAGCCCTGCCTCGTGCTCCCAAGCGGGGGCAGCACCATCCCTTCCCTGGCTCCAAGGCGGGATCAGGAACCGGGAATCGGCCCGGGAGGAGGGACCAACCCACCCGCTCCGGCCCCGCAGCTCCCGCCGGTGACCAATCAGCGCCACGGAAGGGCGGGACCACAGCCCAGAAGCCAAACCCTTCCCGATCTGCTCTGAGTGACAGCAACGGTCACCAATCAGAGCGCGGACAGCGCACCGCCCCTCTCCCTGCACAAGCCCTGGAGGCGGCCCCGCCTCATGCCCGGCGGGGCAGGACACGGGAGGGGAGGCGGGATACGGGGAGGGAGGCGGTCCTACCGGCCCCTCGGGGGCAGGACACGAGGAGAGAGGCGGGCCGGCTCCCCGTCTCCTTCCCTCCCCGCCGGGCCGGCGTCGCTGGGTGCAATGTTTTGCCGGAGCGCGGGCCGGGCCCTCCGGGCTCTGGCGCTGCTGCAGTTGCAGCCGCCCGCCCGGGCAGCGCCGCTCACGGCCCGGGGACCGGCCGCCTGCTACGGGTAAAATCCACAGCCGCCTCCTTCTCCCTTTCCCCAGCTCCCTGCTCCCTGCCCGCGGCTCGGGGAAGGGGATGTTTGTCAGACAGGCGGCGGGACGGACACAGCGTGTTAGCAGAGGGGGTGGTGCGTCGGACCGGGAGGGCGGAGGTGACAAAGCGGGGACTCTGGCCGTGTCCTGAGGAGCCTGCTCCTGCCTTCCCGCAAGGATCCGTGCCAGGTCCCCTCGGCCACCTGCTGCTGGTAAGGGGCTCCCTGGAGGTCGCCGAGGTCGCCAAGAGAACACGTGTATCTAGTCTATGTCATACTGCTTATGCCGCAGATCCTATTGAGGAAAACTGACATAGTACCATAAATTTTTTCTCCTGCACAGATAAAGAGCAGGTCGTATTGTAGCACAGCTGGAACAGGGGTAGTTCCCAGGTTAAACTGCGCTCCTACAGAGGACGAGGTGAAGCACAAGATCTGCCCACTCTGCATCTGTGCTGCCTTGGTAAACACAGGCAGTATGTATCCAATGCTCCTCAAAGAGTTATGCACCTTAACATTACTAATTCGAAATACCAGGGTGGGTTTTTTTGTTTTGTTTTACCTGAGTTTCCAATTCTGTCGACCAACAAAAAAACCCCACTCTTTATGAAAACTTAACAGAAGTGAAGTCATCCTGCTGACAAGCAAACTGATGAGGTGATGTCAAGCTCACAGAAATTTGGTATTGAGAGGACTAAGTATGCCTTAGGTGTTGTCAGTTCCAGTACAATTTCTCAATGTGTACAAAACCCAACTTATTTGTTGTTAGTCCAAAAAGTATTGAAAATACCCTCTGCATGAAACTCCTGGATTTCAGTGGACTTCACACCGAGGCATAATCCAAGAATGGAAAAAGAGCACAGACTCAGCAAAATTCTCAAGGCCCTGATGTTAATAGTTAATCCTAAAAACATAGAACTATGTGGAAAAAAATCTGAATCAGGAAAGCACAATATGTAACTCTGTCTATTAAACTGTACATTGCTAACCTGTTTCTAAAAAAATTACAAGATATTGTTTCTGTTTTGTTAGGAACTGAAAGTGGGTTTGGCAATTATTAAACATAAGCAAAAAAACCCCATGATACAATTCCTAAAATTTTGTAAGAGCAATGTGCTGATATACTGTGGTGAAAACTGTAATAAAATACCTGTTGAAATTAATGACAAACCAAAAGATGGGATATGAAAAGATAAAAAACGTATAAAGAAAAAGAGTGAAAGTCAGTATTCGAAAATGGGCTAAGGCAGCTGTATGAGTGCTACATAGAGAATTTTAATTGTGAGATGTAATAAACCACATCAAATGTGATACATGGACTGTAAGGAAGTTTAGCATTACAGGCAAACTGTCATTTGGATCACATTAGCATAGCAATCACCAAAGTCGTAATTACACAATGAATTTCTTCAAGCTGTACTCTTGCCACAGATCTGCATTTGTACTCCAAACTGGATCTGCACATAAGGGGAGGTGATACTATTCTGCAGAGTCACAGCTTTGATTCAGGCATGTGGCATGGTGGGTTACATAGACCCAAGATTTTACATAAAATAAAAATTTGCTTTGTGTTGAAGAGGTTCTGTGGTTTAACTGCCACCTATGTATTGTGAACCTGAGTTTGTAAGCTATTGTTCATTTTTCTTATGGAAAGGGTTTAAATTAGTGGGATTGTTTTTATCTGTAATTCACCACTTTCAACTCTATACGTACTGTAAGTAGTTCAGACTTTATATATAAAAATTAAATTGTTAATGAATTGCCCAGTGCATATCGTGGAATAGAGATTGTTGTATCTAAGACTGGAAAACAACATGTCTCTATGAACATGAAATTCACAGTGATTGAACTCAAAGGCATGAATATTTAATCTAGGTAAAATTATGGCTACTCAATAGATAACCAAATGGCAAGATTTTTATCATATTAGCTTTAAATGAAATTAATTAGGCTGTTGAAAAGATGTTTTGCAACCATTAGGGCACAAACTTGCCTGGGAGAACAGATGTAATGGTTTGTACTATTAAGGTACTTCGAATCTGTGCTACTTCTGCTTTCTCACTAGGGGTTTGTATCTGGACGTGGTTTCTTGGGTCACTTATTTGCATTTACACATTTGTCTTGCTTTGTACTGAAGATTAGTGTAGGGGTTTAAGTGTTGGGGCTGAGAGATGGCCTGTGGAGTCGGTCAGTCGGTTTCTGTGGTGGTTTTTTAGTTTATTGCTCATGTGGTATTCTCCAATTAAGTGTTATGTCCTGGTGAGATTACACTGACAGAAATATTATTATCACATTCTTCTTCTCCTCTCTCATGTCAGTGCAAAGAGGTTTTCATTGCAGACCCTGTGGTTCACGAGGAACAGCAGCAATAGATTGTGGTTTCTCTGGCAGATGAAGAGGCTCAGTTTAGTAATAGCAAGGTGAACACCAGCCATTTTGAAAGTTATGCTGTGACAGAATGAGGTTTCTCCTCTCTAATGTATTTATTTCAATGTTTCTGTAGCCATGTAAAGCTGCCTTTGTATTTTCCTGGTTGCACCATCAAGACTCTTTTCCCACCCCCAAGCCTTTAGCCCAGATATGAATATTACATAGTGGTCACAACTGAACAATTCTCTGCTCCTGAGAAGCTTTTTTTTTAAATCTTCTATGCACCCATGAAAGGCAAGTGACCCATTAAAATCTCACAGTGCTGTCGTTAATATCTAAGAAAAGTAATTATTCTGTACTCCTGGAGTGACCAAGTAGTAATTAAAATTAACTGTCTGAATGTTTTCCTATTTCTCTCCTTTTCCCCTGTCCTTAGTACTTCAATAACATCTGCCAAAATCCAAGTGAATGGAGTCCACCTGCATTACCAACAAACAGGAGAAGGAAGCCATGCAGTTCTTCTGCTTCCAGGAATGCTAGGTTTGGAGATTTTATCTTGTCTTTGTAGAGCAGCTACTTCTTTATCCATTTGGTCTCCAGCAAGAATGCACAAAACTATTTTGTAATGTATTCAATACCTGATTATGGAGCAATGCCATTTAAAAAAAATTGCCACACTTAAAACAGAAAGGAAAATGCAGAGTTGTTGCCATCAGTTAACAGTTTTTAGAATATTTCACTTACCTTTTATAAAGGCACCTTTTATAAAGTGTCTTGACTTACCTAGTGGTCACTTGCACTTTTGGATTTAACTGTGCAAAGGTGGTGTCCAGGACAGGTGACAAATAGCTTCACAAGGTGGAAAATAGCAGAAGGGAAGGAAAAATCAGGTCAGCTATATTTGCTACACAGAATGAATTATGCATTCCTCTTTAGAAGCTGGATGGATTCCAACTGAATTTATAGACATAATGTAACCCTTACAGTTTATTGTGAAAAAGTCAGTGTTAATTTATTTTTTTTTGCTTAAAGATGTATTTTCACATTTTGTTTATTCAGGGCAACATCATTAAGATTCTCAGTGGTTTTTTGAGATGGACAACAGGTTCTGCTAGCTAAGTGGTGTCTGTCCATCGAAAACGCTATATTTAATAACCACCTTTTATAATTTACACAGCCTATTTTTTCTGGGTTCTTGCACTTCTAAAGGATCCATCAGACTCACCAACAGTTCATGGCAGGCTGTCAGTAGGACTGTTACTGTGCTCACAGTTGGGCAAATGCTTAATTGAATTGCTGGATAAGATGATAAAATGTCAAGAACTGAAGAGCAGGAAACATTTCCTTTTGGCAGCAACGTTTTCAAGACTTCATGGGACAGTTCTTTCAAAGAATTCTCAAGGGGAGGGTGGAAAAAAATTAATACTAGTCGTCCTTCAAGTAGTCATATGTATCAATCTATTGTTTTTAAACTAGCAATACTGTTGCCAATGCAAACTCTTTAAACAGCAATAATGTATTTCTTCAGTTGTGAGCATTATTATTATTATTATTGAAGATTATTATTATTCTTATGCATACATTGCTGTCATCATAGAAGGCTATATAAAGCCTCTTTTATAACTTGGACCTGTTGATGGTATCTGAGGACTGATTTGTCCAAGTAGACAGAAAAAAAACCTTTTAAATGCCTTTAAACAGCCTTTTTAGATAGCAATGGGTAGCAAATTTTGTATTTCAGTACATTACATTTGAACAAGTTTTAATCAAATAGCATTTGATACTATTATGACCACAACACAACACAAACTGCAGTCTTAAATTCATGCTAGGTTACCTTCATTCATAGATATTTTAGTGCAATAGAGAGGAGTACTTCATTTTTAAATCGTTTGAAGCTCTGAATCATTAGTAAAAGAAATGGTTCTGCATCAGAAAAAAATGGCTGTATTTGGTTTATTTTTACATATTAGAAAATAAAATTATATCTTTTTATTCTTCTGTGTCGCCAGTCTCCTCAAACAACAGTGTATTTAAAGGTCAGCTTTAAGCACCAATAGAGATGCTTTATCAAACAGTAACTGTCTGGCACAGTGCTTTTCACTTACAAATTTGTAGCAAAATATTCCTGCCCTCTCAGTTTCACCTCTATTGCCCAGGTAAACAGCAGTGACCATGCGGATGCTTTAAATCTGTCAAATATAAATCCCTACTTGGGTAACTCAGTTTAAGAAACTATATTTTATCATATGTGAGAATGCTGTTCTTGATAACCTTTCATACCTATCAGAAGGGGTTTGCTCTGAACATACTGCAGATGCTTCTAAAGATTTTAGTTGTGGCACTTCCCGTCTAAGAGTTGCAATGAATAGTTACAATTAAAGAGTACTTCACTTGTTGGATAATCTCTTATTTGGAATGAAGTTACAAGATTTCCCCACTTTCCCTTTAGAGTATATATACTATGTTTGCAGTATGGTGGTTAATAAAATTGAAAAATTATAATGTTTCAGGGAGTGGTGAAACTGATTTTGGGCCGCAGCTTAAGTCTATGAATAAGCAACTTTTCACAGTTGTTGCTTGGGATCCTCGGGGCTATGGAAAGTCCATTCCTCCATCTCGAGACTTTCCTCCAGATTTCTTTGAGAGGGATGCAAAAGATGCTGTGGATCTTATGCAGGTAAGTCTATTATGAGATTTTTATTATTCCTTTTTCTTTTTGTTGTCCTTAAATTTTGAGAAGGAGGAATGTTGTTTCCAGCAGACAGCAGATTATGAAAAGACCATACAAATGAAGGCTTAAAAGTGAGCATATACACACTATTCCAGAAAATATTTTCTTCTTCCACCTATTCTGCAAGATGCATGGAGGTTCAGCAGTAGGAATTAATAAAGAGCAATATGCTTTTATTCTAAGGCCTTGCCCTAAGAGATTTGCAGCCAAGGACTACATAAGTTTAGTTAAATGTGTGTATAAGAAACAAAATCTATGCAAAGTAATTTAATTGAGGGGATTATCATACTGAAGGGCTCTTAGAAAATTTTCTATCGAATAGAATCTTGGCATTTTGCCTTGAGCAGCCCATTTTAAGCAACATTTGATTCTAAAAATTAACTTGATGCTTTGCCTTTTACAGCATATTACTGAAGTAATTTTTGTGGGAAATTAAAAGCTTCCTGTGACCATACCAAATCTTACTAATTAATACAGCTATTGTGGCTATAAAGAATATGGCCTAAAGCTGTTATTATTTCTCCTTCCTGCAGAATTTTTTATTCAAATCTGTGTTTCTGTGTTCCGCTTTTATTCTGTCCTATAACTGCTGACACTATTTTCTGGTTTAGCTTTAGCTAATATTCTGGCTTTTTTATATTAAAATACACAGTCTCTTTGGTCATGTTAAGAAAGTTGGCAGAGCATTAAAATTTAAAAAATATGAGGCAAGATTCAGACAGTCAGTCCAACCATATTTCTGTAATAAACAATAACCTTGCTGAATACCCATCTGAAACTGGAAATGTGGCCTTCCAGGTGGATTCTGCATAGCAAAACAAAGCAAGTCTGACAGCAGAATTGGGATTAAGACAGAGATTTGGCCTCTAACCATAAAAGCTATCTCTCTGTACTGTAAATCTTCAGTTTCTTCTGCTACACTAGCAAAGAAAATAAAGATGCTGCCATGAATAGGCGACAAACTTGCAGTCTAAATGGTTGTCCCCCTTTCTTGTCTCTGATCAAATACTAATAAATGCAAAATGTTAAACAGAGCTTTCCCCAAAGGGAATGTAACCATGTAGCTTCCAGCCAAACAGAACAGCAGCCTACCAGTCTCTAGAGCTGCCAAAGCAAATGAGGCATAGCATCCTGTTTTTCTGAAGATGTTTCTCAATATAAGCATATAATAACAACTTACTAAAGTGTTTCCAAGTGTGGGTGACTAGGTTCTATTTTAGGATATTATAAAGGATAAATCCTAAGGAATCATTCCAGCTATGATTTCCAGAATATAATGGTTTATATGCATCATCCAGCCTACAATCAGACAAAAACCACATCCGTATGGGTGAGCCTTCAAAACCTTTGTTCTAGTCACCTTCATATTCTGGTGTCTCTGCTGGAGCTGTGAGTGATGCAAGGTTTCTGTGAAGTAACAAAAGCTGAAATTCTGTGGAGTATTTAGCACTTTTATGCAGAAGACTCTGTTCTGTATCTCAGTTTGTCTTCTTTGAAGGAGTTTACTTGAAATAAAAGGAATATAATGCACCTGAGTCCACCTTGCTGCCCTCCATTCCAATGTCTTATGCTAGCAAAGTCAATAGCATTAAAACAATCATCAGGGAAATAATTACTGTTGATATTTAAGAAGTTCTTACTCTTCAGAGCCACTGTCCTAGCAGAAGGGGGCTTAGGCTTCTCTATGTTTTTGTAGATCAGCTGTAACTTTTGCTTGTGCTACACTCCATGTGATGCAGTGAAAGCATACATGCAGTGCAGAGTGATGTGTTTCAGCTCACTGTTGTGGTCATTGGATTGCATTTCACATAGGCCTGGATGGAGAAGGTGACTTGAAAAGAAATTTTGTTCTCTCACTGAGTAAAGGCAGCACAAAATCACCCACAAAACTGTGCAATCATATTTCAGATTATTGCCCATGTTAGGTTAGCGACCTGTACTGTAAGTAGTTAAAAATGAAAGCAAGCAAACATGCACACCTTATCCAGCACATCTGTTACATCACATTGTTTTTCTGAAGGCTGCAAAGGAGAAATTAAATTCCTCCTGCTGGAAAGGCATCCTGAGATACCCCAAAGAATGCATCAAGATAAAGGCTAGTAAACATGAGAAATACTGGAGGCAAATAGATCTGAAATAACCTGGCAGGAAGAACAAAAAATTTAGTCAGCTAGTCCATCCATCAGCCAACTTTGAGCTCCATCATTTGCTATTGGCAGTAGGGGAACAGTAGCAACATCAAAAATTTAACCTTTACAAGCACTGCTGCCAACCCCCAAAATCTGCCAACATACCAGGAACTCTTCAGCAGCACAGCAGTGAAAGCTGGATGCAGATGAGCTGCTGCTTCATCAGACCAGGGCCAACTTCTGATCAGCTGCAAAAGTTGAAAGTTCTCTTTTTTTGCTATCAGCTCTTACTTTCCATGTCCCTTTCTTTTCCCTACCTTATTTTTTTTCTGTTTAGTAATTATAGCTTTGCAGAGTGAAATCTAAAGTTGGTCAAAACTACAGTGAGCAGAATACTGAGGATGAAGCCAAAACCAGAAAAGCCTTATAGGGATAGAAGTCTGCTAAATATTGAGTTGATTAGTAAAGTTGTGCCTCACTTGAGCATCAAGTTTACAAGCAAAGTAGAAACTTTTTTTTT